GATGCCTCTATAATTTTCAATAGTGCACCGACTACCAGTTTTGTGTAAAGGGATTATATAACTAGATCTCCAGTAAAGAGGAAAATAACCAAGGGATAAGGAATAGTTAAATAAATCTGTTAGAGGTAAGTACAATTCATATGCACAAGACTTTAATATAGATGATGGGACACCATCTGGACCAGCAGAATTAGAGGTTTTTAGAGATTTCAGGGCATTTAATACCTCATCTTCCGAAAGTAAAAAATGTGGAAAATGGTTTATCTTCTCCATATTGTAGTTATAATTAAAATTAAACGAAATGTTTGAATAATTGTTCTGGAAAAATTTGGCAAACATATTTGCAATATCAGAGTTATTAGATGATCCCATACTACCAAGTTTCATAAAGCTGGGAAATGACCGAACATTACGTTTAGTATTTACGAATTTAAAAAAATCTTTTGGATTAGTTTGTAATCTACTTTTCATTTTTACTAGATATTCTGAATAACACTTCTTATTTTCAGTATTATACTTATACCTAGCCAACGAATAATTTCTGTAATTTGCTGGAGAATTATATTTTTGGAATTTTTTAAACAATCTACTCTTTACATTACGCAGGCGCCTTAGATAAGAAGATGACCACGATGGTTCACTATCAGGATTGACTTCTATGAAGGGAATGGATAATGATAACGCTTCATTTAAAGTTATGTAGAAAGAAGAAATGCGTGAATCCATATCACCCTTAAAATCCCAATTTGTGTTGGATAAAATGGAATGTAGAATATCAAAGTTGGCTTTCTTAAAATTTAGTTTAAGCTTTTTTTGTTTAACATGATCAACATTAGTTAATTTATGCTGGAATTCCAGACTCACATTAAGAGTTGGGTGATATTTGTCTTCAGGTTCAGAAAACGGGGAACATCTACATATAGATATATTTATCGTTGATGAAAATACTAAGTCTAATATTCTATCTTTAACGTTGGAGATATTATTAATTTGGAATAAGCATTGATCAAATATTGTTTCCCAGAAAATAGCCATGTCAGAAGAAGTTGATAATGTTGATGAAGTAGGCACATAATCGATATTATTGTCACCTAGAACCCATGTTAACTTTGGCAAATTGAAGTCACCAAAACAAACAATTTCACAATTAGATGGCATTGAATTTGAAGCTTGCTTTATTAATTCAGCATGTCTAAGGTAAACGTCGGTTTCAGAGTTAGGAGCTATATATGAACAGGTTAAGATAAAAGATAAACCTAAATAATTTAATCGAACACAAACAAATTCAGTATCTGAATTATTATTTATTGAAACGCACTCAGAGGCAATGGAATTATGTACAGCTATCAGCACTCCACCGCCGATTTTATTAAGTCTATCATGCCTATAAACTTGATATTTATCTGAAAAAATTTCAGTACCACCAATCTCAGGTTTAAGCCATGTTTCAGAGAAGACAACAATTTTATAATCGCAATCGAAAGATTTAAGGTAAATATTTTTTAGTTTAGTATTGAGACCTCTTACGTTTTGATAAATTAATTGTAAGGAATTACTTAGTTTTTTGAACCGGATACGTTATCGGAAATAACCAATGGTTTTGCGATGTTGGATCTTTCCCTAAATTCAAACTCTTTTACTAAAATCCCATCAGGCCAAAACAATTCATTGAATAAAACGTTAAATATTTTTTGAGGAATAACAAGTTTAAATGAGGAAATGTCACGTGGAGTTGATGACTTAAACTTAAAAATTTTAAAATCATTTTTATGAAGGCTATGTATTTTAGATTTAATATAATTTCGGATGTTATCTACCGATGTATTAGAATGGAGCCTAGAGATAAATAGAGCTTTTCTAGGAGCAACAACGATAAGTTCACTATTGTCCACAGAGACAGGAGAATTAGATAAAGTTACCGGATTTGCAGATGGAGTAACTTCTATAGCAGATATACATAAAGAAGAATCAGTCAATTTGGCTTCAGAAGATAAGTTTTCAGTCTGAATACTTGGACCGTTTTGTTTGTTTGAGTCAGCAGTGGTTAAGCCACTGGGTGGTACAGGTGAATATAGCGCCGGCGGCGCAAGATGGTTTTCGGAAGGAGCACTCTTGCTATTATTGCGTTGCGATAAAACAACTGGTGAATTTAAAGTAATTAAATTATCACCATGAGCAACAACCGAAGTAGTCTTCATCCGTTTCGGAGAACCATCTACATATTCAAATTTGTTAAACATATTCTCAAACTTATCAAGTCGTAAGCATACAGAATTAAACTCTTTCTTCATGGCAGCTATCTCGATTTTAGCATCCTTAAAAAGTCGATAAAAATCGATTTCTAAGCACCTGCAATCGGGGCATGCCCAACGAAGTCCATTTTGACGATCAGTAATTAAGTCAAAATGACGACCAGTAAAACCCGCACACTTAAAATGAGCAAATTTTTCGCAAAGCCAGCATGTTATTAAACGTTCAGTAACGCTGGTAATGGAACAGCCCTTTTACAAACAAGCCATTGAAATAACAATAACGGCCTAAGTTATGCTACAGTAAATTTAATTAAAATAATAAGCTTTAAATTTAATACGAACACAATCACAATTTAGTTAGCGCCTGAAAATATGCTCAACTAAAAAAATACGCGCACTAAAAGAAAAATAAGGAAATAAAACTATAAACACTTTATCACCAAATTAACACTTAAATGCACAAACGAACACTTTCCACTTTGTTGCTAAATGACAAATTTACGAAAAAGTTGTAAATTTATTTAAATAACAAAGTATTAATAAGTAAATTTAATGAAATTTGAAACACAGTATTGACAGAACACAAAAACTCGACTTTACACAACAAGCGTTGCCAGACTTTTTTTCTTTTTATCTTGTAAATAATAAATTATTCTCAACTGTATACCTTTTTTTCTTTATCAGCGTTTATTTTAATTAAAATTTTTTTTTTTAATTATCTTAGGGAATGTGCTATTTAAAATGTCGGCGAATACAGACCGAAAGAATAAAAAACTTCCAGTTTCTAAAAATAAATTTATTTTTCTGACTAAGCTTACATTGTATATCAACAACAACATGTTACTAAAAAAATAACTGTAAAAATAATTTGAGTAATTGCAGAAAGAAAATAGCAAAAGGTGTGTGAAAAAATTTCCACTATGCGTGCTATTTAAAATGTCGCCACTGTATGTTAATTACACTGTGCTACAAAACAAAAAAAAATATTCAAGGGTTCTATTGTACCAATTCTGTTTAGTTGGAGTCCCTGGAACACGAAAATACCTTTGGTTTTTCTGGGTCACTTCAAAAATTTGTTTTATAACGGTAAATGTGGTGAAAACGTGGTCTCATAGATTTTCAATTAGAAACGCGAATAATACATGGTCTTCATGGTAGAGTTGCACTGAAAAGCCATTCATAAACCGGAAAATCCGATTGGAACAAGAAAACAAAAAATTTGCCTTTTGAAAATCTGTTATTTTTGCTGATCGAAGCAAATTTACCTTGTTTGGAACGAATGGACCAAGTAAGGTATCACAAAGACCGAATAAAACCGTAGACCCTAAGTACACAATTCCGACCGTAAAGCACGGAGGAGGCTCTTTAATGTTATGGGGCTGTATGAGCGCTACCGGAGTATAAAATCTAGTTCTTATTGAAGGCATTACGGAATTATAATTTCAAATGTAGTACTGAAAAATTGGGATTGAGGACAACATTTCAATTTTATCAACATAATGTTCCCAAACACAAGTCCCAGATCGTTCAAGAATGGATGCTTTATAAATTCCAAACGTGATTCAAAAACATTGTCAATTACTGGTAGCCATAACATAATTCTACTTGTAAAATATTATCAAGCCTTAAAAATGTTTCACAAGTACAATAAGGAAAATTCGGACATCTTACACGGAAAACTTAGTGAAATCTATGCAAGGTTGAAAGCTGTAAAATATGATAAGGGATACCATATCATCCAAAAAATCCGCTTGTTAAGAAAAAACTTTTATCTTGTGAGGTTGCAGTTGTATTTGGTTAACAATCATTATTACTCACATAAATATTGTTTATTTAAAATTACAAATTTGGTCTTCATTTTGGAATGGTTCTGTACCAATGCCCTGTTCTAAGCGCCCGCAAATATTTATTATTGGATTCCAGTCCAATTACTGCCTAGGGGAGTCAAGCATTTTTATACCCTACACCACTCTGTGGTACAGGGTATTATGTCTTTGTTTGTAATGGGCAAAAGGAAATGAGATGGACACATGGTTTCTTTTGAGAATATGCATAGAATCACTTCCTGAGTCGAATTATGCGTGTCCGTCCGACTGTCTGTCCATGTTAAATTGTAAACAAAGTACAGGTCGCATTTATGATCCGAATTGAATCAAATTTGACACAGCTCATTTATTTGGCCCAACCTTATTGAAATTGGGAAAAATCGGTTCAGATTTAGATATAGCTCCCATATATATTTTCGTCCGATTTAATGTAAATGATGTACCAAAGTCTCGACATATTTTTTGATTTGCTCCAAAGTTGGCATAGCTTTCTGAATTATATCTAAAATGATGTGCGTCAAGTTTCGTGAAAATCGGTTCAAATTTAGATAAAGCTCTCATATATATCTGTGTCCGATTTAATGTAAATGGTATACCAAAGTCCCTATATATCTCTCGATTTGCACCAAATTTGGTGTAGTGTACTGAATTATGTCTAGAATGACATAGCAAATCTTCTTAACAAAAAATTATAATTTGATAGCACCACATAATTGTAACACGTTTTTTATTACATGATACCTTTGCGTCCGACCTCATAAAGTCCTTGCTTATATTTAAACATGGGGATGTTAAACTTTTAGATGATCTAATTCCTTTCTTTAAATAACTGGGAATATTAGTTTATTATTGCGTTTATTATACGTGACCGTCACTATATATATATATATATATATTAGCCAATCATGAGAAATATACGTACGTGTTCCATCAAACCGGGTGGCAATCGTATCCAGAAAAGTATTTTGTGGTGCAAGCAATCCTTTCCTTGCTGGCATTGAAATTCAATTGTCTTCTGAAAATAAGAAAACAAATGTTGGTTTGCCTTATAAAATTTGCATAATATAATAGAATAATAATTTTAGTAACACATGATAAATCCTTGAAATATATTAGAAAATGGAACAGAGATCGCCCTATTATCTTTTCAAATATAATTTCATAGGACAATGTGTTTCTCCTATTCTCTCAAAAAACTTACAAATACCAGCGCCTATTTACTCCAGATATGCCGAGTGTACTACTTGTTGTACAGTTTTTATGTTTGAAATGATATGTTTACTGTCCCTGTAGGACTTTCATCAAATACTTTACAAAATGTTTAGTTATAAAGGAATTATTATTCAACTAACATCTAACACTCAACCACATTGAAACGAAAAATTTGTTCGTGTCACCAAAACATAACACACGCCAGACAAGAAACCCTTTTCTAAGATCCGTTAGAATTGTAAACCACAACAAAGATTGCAAAGAGGAAGGTCAATTCATTTAATTTTAATTTCTTATGCTTTTAAAGCGTGAACTAAAATAAATCTAATATAATGTGGGATATATATTAAATTTGGAATATATTTTGATAAACAAATTAATAATAATTTCGGAACAAGCCTTGTTTAGGTCCCCCTCCCGGTTCGTTTTGAAATTTTTACCACATGTAGTCCTTGGGGCCCTGATTATGACAATATTTTTTTCTTGCGGAAATCGGTATTTCCGGTGATATGGGCCTCCAAAGTTCCGTTGGGACCCTTGTATTTTCTCATAAATTTTTAAAATCCACTAAGGCAATATGGGTATCATTTTAAAGCATTTGAAGCCACGATTACAATAGTTTTATATTCATATTAAATATGTCCATACTTTCTGAGATATGGGTCTCCAAATTTCGGTAAGTTCCTTCCATGTGTAATATTGGTCAAGGTATACTGCTTTAATCAAGGCCCCAAGGACTACATGTGGTAAAAATTTCAAAACGATCCGTGAGGGGGCCCTAAAGTAGACTTATGCCATAATTTCAAAAATGCTAAATACAAATTAATATATTTTATACCGATGAATATTTGCCCTGTTTTAATCTAACTATTAATTTAATCTAACTATTAATCGGTCAAAAAAAAACTAATTGTTAACTAGTTGAAAAGTAACTGACTATTGCCCCGCTCATCCCCATGTAAAAATAATCAGTTTGTTCAAAGAAAAATAATCGATAACTGGACTAGTAGTGACTATTTTAAAATTAGTTTAATGTTAGATTGAAAGTGGTTCATTTCCCTACTGGGGTGCGTTACATTTTCTAATCTGCTCATTGATCGTCGTGTTCTAGTGAGCCTCAGCATTATCATTAGAAAACTTAATGTGCAGTAAACACCGTAACTTACAAATGACAGTTGTACTGCACGTAGTATGCTTGACATATACCGGTAGCAGATATGTGGAGGTATTATTTATTATAAAAATTTACTATACCACATTTACATCATATGGCATACCGTATTACCACATTTTTTGAAATTATCTTATATGGAATTAAAAATATTTTCAAAAATATATATTTTTCAAGTAGTTTCATTGATACACAGCATTTGCAGCATTTTAATCGGGTAAATAATAAAAACAATGAAAAAAATAAATGGGTATACCACATTTGCATCACTTACTCTATAATTATACAAATAAATAATAATAATAAAAAAATATTATTCTTTGTACCTTGTCTTATCATAAGTGCTATATTTCTCTAAAATTCACATGTCATTTTCTGCGAATTAGTGTAAGGTTGAGATACACTAATTCACATTTTAGTGTACCTTATTTAGTACAATAAATGTACTTATAGACATCCGACTTTTACAATATCGATCCATTCCATTCATTCACCACCTACTAAACGTATTACAATATTTTTGTAAGAGCAAATAAAAGGAATTAAAATTGAGTCGGCTTGTATATTGTTGTACATTTTGTTATTCCGATTAAATTGTGTGGTTCTGTGAAATTGTGTACATTCATCGTTACCCTCCCAAGAAATTTGATATTGCGACTGGAATATATAATATAAGTCCATTGATTTAGCATATCGTTATATATTGTATTTTGATAGTTTTATCCGCATGTTTATGTTTAATTTAATTCAAGCCTTAAATTTTTTAAATTTTTAGTTATGTGATCTTTATTTATTTAGATTTATACATAAACATTCTTCAAATTTATTTTCATTTTCCAGAAATCTGATTGTCATATTTACAATTAGTTCGTCCAAACATGGGACAAATAATGCAGTCCTATAAAACCACTCGGAGTTCGAACTCATTACATTTGACTTCTACTTTTGCCAACCCTTCTTGGCACAGAAACTTCTACTTCTAAGAAATAAATCCGAATTAAATCTTACCATTTTCCTCTATTTCTTCCAGCCAATGCCGTTAGAAATATTATTAGAAATATTCTACATAAAGTACCAGACCTTTTTGGATTTTCTAAAGAATGAGCATATGTCCAAAATTGTAGAAAATATACTTCGAATTTCTCGAATGTTCGAAGCTGCTCGAATGTTTAATAATGGTCTGCACTCCATTATAATTGCTTGACATATTAGACTCGCCGTCATATCCTTGACATCTCAAAAATGTTGGATCCAAACCAAATCTGCTAATCCTTCTACTTTCAGTAGCAAAGACTTTTTTAGATACCTTGTCAAAAATACAGCACTTTTCACTTCTCCAACAATGGTCTTCTTCTCCAAAGACTCTATGTGCCCAGTTAATAACTCGTTCTGTATTCAGGGACTCAGGTACATTCCCTCAAGATGATTTCTTCCACTTCACACAATAAAATTGTCTCATCTGGGATTTTGTTACATTTCTCTTGTGTATGTAGAAATTTGAAGAATATAATTTGAAATATAATAAAACTTATCTTATATTATTTCCATCAAAAGTGCAATTTTTCCTTCCTTAAATATAATTTGTTGAAAACAATGTTTTTTTAGATCATTTGTACACATGTTAAATTCCATATCGCTGGCGTAAATTGTTAAGACAACAATTCCAGTTTTCTAGAAATTGAAATTCGATGAAAAAATAAAAATATAGTATCTCATTTTTATCATTTTTGTTTTGTATTGCTAAGTAAAGGCGCAAAGTCCAATTTATTACATGTCACTGATTTTACATCCATGTCCATGTCCACTTTTTATTTTGAGGGTTTTGGACACGAGTTTCAGCCGAATTGCCTATAATTTGGTACTTTAGGTACTTATTGTGTAGCACACCTTCCAAAAAAATATCAATATTGGTCCACATTATCCCCAATATTCGGAATTTTGAAATGTTTGGGCAGGTTTTTTAAAAGAATTGGCTGTAATTTTATATTTGGAACTCTCATTGGGTACAAAATCTTCATACCAAAAAGTATCAATATTAGACCAAGTTTCGGAGAAGCCCCCATGTTACGTTACACCCATTATTCGGTATTTTGTAAATTTTTACTCGTTTACTGATTGCTGTGTTTATTATGGCGGTCGTATTTTTTTCCTGTTAATCCTTCTAATTCTACTCAGGGTGCGAAGAATGATTAAAATACGCTCTTTCTCACGAATTATCACGGGCGAGAAATCGAATGTTTTCAATTTATCGCGAATGATAAAGTTACAATGAATGAACAAGCATTTGCAATCTCTCGCGAATGTTCGCATTGTACGAAAAATTCACGAACGATAAAATTTCGCTGCAAGCGTCGCCGTAGACTCATTATTTCGCGAGCGTTTGTTGCTGAAGAACTTTCTTTTGAAAAACTCAAAAAACAAATGTTTGGGAACGCTCGCGAGCACTGTTAAAAACAACAACTACTAAAATATCATAAAAAATAAACAAACAACGAAAGAATGTGTGTGTGTAGCAGAAAGTGTGTGGAATAACAAAATACATGTCCAACAACTATTGAGTTCACGAACGTTTGTTGTTGCAACAGAATACATGTCGTTTTGTCATGCATAGTCTGGTTCTACATATTCTACCTCCAAATTCAGGAATGTTGCAACTTCAGCGGGTTGCGTCCAAAGTGAATTCGGCGGTAGGTGAGTAGGCTTAGCTGGGCAATTGAAGAGGTGCAACGTGTCGTGTGGTCCTAGTCCACATGCCGGTCATGTGTTAGGTATCGAGCCGACAATTCTTGCCCAATATGAATTGAGGCGGTTGCACCATCCTGATCTTAGTTGAGCTACGACTACTCGTGTTTGCCTTGGCAGCTGCTTCTTCTCAGCTGCGATGGATGGGGGTGGTCTCCAATTATGGTATTCACTCGATATTGCTCTACTGCCTGAGCGACTGCATCCGTGTGAATACCATTCAGACCTTTGAATACCATTCACGCTTGTACCTTTGGACCTCTCTCTCTATATCATGAAGATCTTTCCTGACGTGCCTGGGTGGGGGACTCCTGTCCATAAGGCTATGGCAGGGATGTTCCTGACGATGGGTGGTTAACGACAAGTTGAGGGCTGATGTTAGGTACTCAACTCCAGGTTCATCCAGCTGCTTTAGCATTACCATGGAAATTCCGTCCGGGTCCAACGCTTTGGATGACTTAGCGTTATTAATGACATCTGCAACATCCTCCTTTATAAATTGTGGGGGTTCCTCCTGAGCTCGGAGTGCCCTTATGCGACGTAGCACACTCCTTTTCGCCCTGTCACTCTCGGGGTGCTCTATGAACTGCCGGTTAAAATAACTCGCGCACCTATTCGGGTCTGTTGTAGTTACGTCGTTAAATGTAACAGCCGTCCTGTCATCTTTCCTTCCAGGATTCGAGAGTGACTTAACCGTTGCCCACAATTTACTTGTTCCGGTGGCAATGTTGCATTGCTTCAGGAGGTCTAGCCACTTTTTCCTTTTGTGCTCGCATACTTATCTGTTGACTTCAAGGTTAAGCTCTCGCACCCTTGGGTCTTCAGGAGTAGTACGACGGAGCTCATCACGCTCATTAGCTAATACCGTTGCTTC